TTACAAATTGTTCATATTTATCATTTAAAACGTGTTCAGTCGTTTATTGATGTGTTATCATCGTCTTTATGACACTGTGATGGTATAATGCACGTTTAAACTATTTTTAAAGTTAAAAGAATAACGTATTATTACTCTATATTAATATAGATTAAGGGTAACAAACGAACACACAGTCCACCTAATGGTAATTGAATGCTGTGGCCCATAGACATCTGAATTTATTCTCAATTAGGAAACAAAATGTAGATGCGTTGTCACTCCTGAGGACTAAAATTTAATTTTTATCCATTTAAAAGGGTTATTGGTTCTCTGCACTCACCATACAAAACACAGCAGCATTAAGCTGCTATTTTACGCGGGTATATTGTGAGAGCGTGATCTTTCCCCGGTCGAGTCGACCCACTTGTGCTAAAACCATAATATACCGGCAGCGTTGCTCCACTACAGCTATATTGCAACATATATGTTGCTATAAGGATTTATAAAATACTAACGTGCATTTGGGACAGCGGAAGTTGTTACCCTGTTTTACCCTTTTCGGTAGGTGGCGAGTACAGTTTCACTACGAATTCATATTAGAATTTAAACAGCGTAAATATCCGAGGCCTCTCCATATAATTCCTCATATGGGGATGCTATAGTTACCACGCTTTGCAAGCGGGTTAGCAAGCGCAGTGTGACACATGATCTTGGTTTTGTCCATGTTTATGTGTGTTTACCATAAGACCTATCCGTTGGAAGGCACTATTGAGGTTATTAAACATAGTGCTTAGATCCTCCAGCAATTATTATATATTATTGCATTACAATACAATTATATCGTCGGTAAATCGAAAATGAGTTGATGTTAATACCGTATCCCTTCCAGTCTAGCTCGAAAAGGTCTTTGCACTTGGTGAGCAGGTCTATTTATTTTATCATTGGGAAACCTTGATGGATGTCTTTCGCTGCGGGGCCATCGAGAAGGTTATGCCGGACTCCTGCCGGCTAAAACCCTACGGTGGTCACCATCAACGTATAGCGGGGTCCCGAGATCTCCGTTCGAAATGCAACCGGGGACCCTCTCTCGCTTTGCTTTATTGGAAGCACGTCCGTAGGGCAGTTCTTTCTACTCCCAACACCCTCGCAGTGCTATCACGATGTCTCTGGACCACGTCCGAGATAGTATCCTTCTCAGGAATTATATTTCTATGCAATTGGGGCCCCCTCCTCGAGCATCTGCAACACCAGAGGCTCAGATTCTGGTAGAGAAACACCCTTTATAAGAGGCGACAAACGCCTTGGCAACGTCGTTTCCGAGCAGGATCCGCATTCTCCCGATCCCGCTCAGCAGTCTCCCTCTGAACATAACGAAGTTTCAGAAGGTGGCTATGGCCCCCTACACTAAATCCTCGCTCAGCATCGCCGACATGACTGCTGAGAGGGAGAGGTTCCGCGTATTATAAAATAATTTGGTTTGTCAGGATTGTCCGCCCATGCTTGACATAATGCGAGGGTGTGGGACTCGGAATCCTGGTCTTGTCCACCGCAATGGAAGCAGTTCACCGTTCACCTCGCGTCCGATCTTACATATAATACATACACCCGTGTCCGATGTTATCTGTGTAAGTCAGTAGGTGAGTCTTCCTACTCGTCACTGTATCCAGGCTTTGAAAACCGGCAGGGCTAATCAAATGATGGGCTTTCATTCATAGAGCTCCTCGAGTCGAGAACGCCATATCGCCGGAGTGTTTTGTCGTTCCTGCCAGTAATTAATTTGAGCGCCTCTTTAGGCTCGCTACCACCGCTCTGGCGGAGGGCACAGATCCAGACGTACATCTTCGCGGCCATATTCGCCAGTATATCTAGTGGTGGAAAGTGAGCCAAGATTGTCGCCACCTCAAAGGATAAAGTGCGGTATCATCGTATGATCCGCATGGTCATCCTCCACTGGACACCGTAGGTTTTAGTTCTACAGCGTTGAATGGCTAGCATTTTTGCCCATACAGGCGCTCCATATGGAGTTACGGATCGTATAACTCCCGCATAGAGGCAACGCTCTTCCTCCGTCTTTCACCTAGATTGGGCAGCAGTATATGCATAGCACCCGTTACCCTTTAGATCTGCTGGATTAGGCGGGGACCAGGCTTCCACCCCACTCTGGTTTCAGACTCACCCACGCGGACGCACGATTCTGTTGGTTCCCCGCCTCATGGTAATTTATGAAACCATAGGTCCTGGGTCTTGTAAGGCGCTATGACGACTTCGGGTCTGAGTTTGGCGAGCTCTTTGGCCTTTTCGAAAGTGATCTCAGCATTGCAAACGATATCTACGCCAGCAAGAAGATCCTGTAGCTGAACCGCATCATAGGCGAGGTACACAATAGTGGCCCCAACACCGTAGGTTGCTGATTGTGTCCTAGGATGAAGTGTTATAGGTATTAAGCTTCTAATGCTTGTACCAGCAATGGTTCACAACAGCAGTCGAATAGAAAGTTCGAACCTATGACCTGTTAAGTTCGTGGTCCACGACCTGCCATTAGTTTATTGTAATTCGTTCGATAGTTCTTAACAAAAATAAAATAGAATTTATAATTAGTCACCATGTGGTAAGAAGAAGAATGGTAAGAAGATTTCAATTAAGTTAAACAGCTCAATCAGTACCTATTAATCTGAAAATTGTTTATACAATTTCACAGCTGGTAATTACCTATCATCACTAAATTACCAAAATAATACAAACTTTTTCCAACATACTTATACGTGATCGATTCGACGGTCAACGTTGTCAGGTCGACAAGAGTCACAAAAAGGTCATATAAGAGCTTACGGATATGCGGCCAAAAAGCTTTATTCCACATCGGTCTCAGTTTTATTAAATATTTTATGAAGATAGTCATTTTTATTGAAACACAGTAAAATATTATATCATAAAGTTTTGCTGTAGCCTAAAGACGCCGGTCGTGTGGTATCTACACTAACCATATGAAAACAATGCTGACGACGAAAACGTGAAATTGAAAAAGAAACCAAAAATACAGTAGATAATCAAAAATTTTTGTTAGTTTTTGTAACTAAACGAATAAGAAACTAGTATAACTTTCTCGTATCACCAACAATCCCAAAACTGAACATTTGTCATAAAATACAAAAAGATCTTACTTTTTTTGGTGTCGCCAATGAGAGCTTACAATCTTACGCTCCCCAAATGTGGCTAGTTGGGAGTGAGGTGAACATATTTGTTTACAATGTGTAAATGAAAAGTTGCGATTTAAATAAAAGTTTATCAGTTTATGAAGTGCGCATATACGCAAAACAAAGCCTGTGTCCTTTAATTTTTTTGCACATTTTTTAAATTTTTCTACTTTTCAGAATATCTGTTGTTAAGTTTTTCCTTTTAAAATAAAATATTTCGAAGAGAAACATTAATATCTGCACTTTTCTTACAAATTACCTTCCTCCGCTACATAATTGTCAAATATTTCACCTCAATCCTAAGTTGCGCCATCCTGTTGGCATATGTAATATCTTATGTCGTATTGGCTGACAAACTGAAGTATTTCTTATTGTATCACTTCATATCAACTAAACTTGCTTTTTCTCGTTATTATCAATATTTAGTATGTGGTGGTGGGACTTCTTGTATGGCTAGGAGTTCATCATGGTCGGATTTATCCTCTTACATATTTATACCGTCAAGCATTACCGGAATCGAAGGTATATAGAGCCATGTACAGCATGTGAGGAATTCTCTCTTCACTGCAAAGATGAAAACACATTGGAAGCCTTCTTGTTCGAAGTTAGTTCCAGGTGTCTACAGACTGCAGTAGCCACTGCCAATAAAAGGTTGAAATTTTTGATATTAACAGGCGTTTTAAAAAAAATATGTCCGTCTCTATTGTTACTTGTTCAAAGCAAAGAGAGAAAGAGAAAAAGTTATTCATTAATTCATAGATTTAGAAAAAAACCATCAGATAGAATGTAACTTGGTTTGTTACTTCAATTTTGTGAAAGAAAAATTATCACTACACCTTATCAAATGACCAATGCTGAACATAATCCTCCCCTAGGGAAATGACTCATCAAGCATTCATAAACTCCCTGCATCCCATACCAGGTCTTTACTTCATCTAGTGGGGGCCACCCTACACTTCACTTACCAGGTTGTTTTTCGAGAATTCTTCTCCTCATCGGTTGTTTTTTTAGATATATAGCCGGCCCACTTTACGTTACTGTATCCGTTGGACTCTATCAGTAAACCAGGTTCACACTCCTTTTGTCATTTCTGTAAGTTACCGAAGTAATAAAGCAAGGTCACACATTCTCATATTCATTTTAGTTTCTCAGACATTTTTACGTGGTAGAACCATGCTGCAGTTATATTTGTAGAATAGTTGTAGCACGAATGGGTTGGCTTGACCGAGAAAGGACCACGCTCTCACAGAATACCAGCGTCAAATAGTAGTTTAATGCTGCTGTGTTTCGTATGGTGAGTGAAGAGAACCGGAGATCCATTCTACTGGAAACGAGGCGTTCCATCTAAGTTCTCATGGATGACAACGCATATGCATTTTGATTCGTAATTGAAGATAGATATAGATGTCTATGGGCCACAGCAAGTGTGCAGTGTGCTCGTTTGTAATCCTATCCTATTTAAAAAAAACATGCAGGTTTCCTCAGAGTGTTTTTCTTCAACGGCAAGCATGTGTAGAAATAATAACATATATAATGGTTTTTAATAAGACGAAATAATTTTTTATTTTTTTTTTCTTAGATAGAACAGTGCGAATCAAATTTGACTCAGAATTATCAAAATATTAACGAAAAATATAGAACCAAAAAGTACAAAACAATTTGACAATGAGCGACAGTATACATTGAACATAAGCTACTCGTATATAATGATATATATATATAGCTGAACAGAAAATATTTATCGTAAACGACATTTGACTTAACTCAGTGTTGATGTGTTGAAAAGTACTCTTGATGAAATTAGCAGTGATATAATTAACCAATATGGATTTAAAACTCGTAACGACTAATAGAACCTTTCCCGAACATGGTTTTTGGGATTTTAAAGGCAAAGGTAAGAAAATTTAATTGCATTTTTCAAATTTTCATACAACGGTATTATTTAGTTTCTTTGCAGTTATTTTGTTCACGAAAATGTAAAAAGACACAAATTGATGAAGATTCATAAATTGTTCATGTAAAAAATACATATTTGAATTTTAACTTAATATTTTTTATTTAGAGCCTTTTTAATTCCTAGTTTTTTACAATGCCGTTATAAAGACAAGAAGTCAATAAAATAATATTAAGTCAATCTAATAATAATAACAGCACTTGTTAACAATTTGTGAAGGTGAAGTATAACTTGAAAATAAAGTTTCAATGGTAGTAGAATACTAATTAAATACACATTTTTGATATTAACAGGCGTTTTAAAACAAATACGTCCGTCTCTATTGTTACTTGTTCAAAGCAAAGAGAGAAAGAGAAAGAGTTATTCATTTATTCATAGATTTAAAAAAAAATTGAATTCATATAATGTAACTTTTATATCTGATCTATTTTATATGTAAGAAAATCTTTTACGAAATAAAAACATCGGTCAAGGAGTCACTGAGTTAAAGTTCTTTCGAACTTGTTTATATTCAGTTTTATTTTACCATTTATATCAAGTCTTTATTGTGGTGTATATAATTCACCTATAATTCAGCTGCCTTTTTTCCCAACACTTAATTGTGTGATGGAAATAAGTTGGGATGCTTTTTCACAAAAATACTTATTTCAGAATTTAGAGACAAGGCAATGCTAAAATTTTTAGTTTTTTAAACCATGGTGAACAGTTTTCATAAAATTTAACACCAAAGCTTTGTCCACGTAATCAAATTTTAAAATATATACGAATTTTTATATTTCGAATGATTTATTGAGGTCGACTTCCATTTATTGAATTACAAGCCCAATGAACACTGCTTGATTTTAAATTGAAATAAGTTTCTAATGATTCCTTCACATTTTTTTTAAATTGATCCGATAGTTCCAAATTGCGTGTACTACATATATCATTTGAAATATTTAAATTAGATGTTATTTGATAAATAGATGATTTATTTATTGTAAGCTTATGTACATGAGTACTGAATATAGAATTTAGTTAATTAGTGCTTATTTTAAGTTATTGGTTTTACCCACATTTTCTAAAACCGAGTTTTCATCAGATCTCGACATTTTGACGTCCCGGGAAGCTATTTTGACTAATTTCACTTGGAGTTCCGTATGGATATATATATATATATATATATATATATATATGTGTGTGTGTATGTGTGTGTGTGTGTGTGTGTGTGTGTGTGTGTGTGTGTGTGTGTGTGTGTGTAAGTATGTAAACCTTGGAACCGTGGTCCATCAAATCTGATTTAGAGACAGGCGATCCTATACGTGTTAACAGTTTTGCAGTCTGTAAAAACCAGTTTTATTAAAAATTATGTTTAAAACGTCATCCTGGGAATCAAATATCATTCCCTTAGCTGGGTTTTAAGACCAGCAAGGCAATCGGTCGTAAAATTTTTAAATATTTTGTTTTTACCCGACTGCCATAGAAGGAAGGCCATATTTTTATTTAATAACAATTTAATTTTTGATATGTATTATTTTTAATTCTCTTCTTAATTTTTTTACATAATATTAAATATTATACATATTTTTAATTCCAAATTTTTATTTTTTTCAGTTGACTACGTTGATGGATGGTTTCTAATGAAATCGCCGGTACCATTACTGTTTTTGTCAATATCGTACTTATTATTTGTACTTAAGCTTGGGCCTAAAGTTATGAAGTTAAGAGAACCGTTCAAATTACGAAGCACTATAATATTATACAATTTATTTCAAGTTGCATATTCTTGTTTTCTACTTTTCAAAGTAAGTACATTTTTATTATTAGATTAATATAGTAGCTGAAGGAATATTTCTGTATTAAAAGTATTAGAATTGACAGTATAGTAGCGCCGTAAGAATATTGAATACGTCATTTAGTCCCGTGGTTGCGGTAACGGTTGACAGAGGCAAACAAAACAGAAGATAGGCAGCAGAGTCTTTCTAATTACAACTAAAAAGAAAACCACGGTTGCCAGCCCGCCTGCCAAGCATGGCAACCGTGCCAAATATCTCCCCTATGAGGTGATCTATGGGGAAAGCATATGAGCAGTAGTGGACTTTTGATATGCTGTAGCGGTAATGGTAACAGTAAGGATGAGGATCAAATAATTCTAATTTCATCCTAGAATTTGTGATATTGATATAAGCACTTTGTTAAATTACTTATCTGGAAACTGTTGCTTAAAAGCATGACTTTTCTAGGTTACAGCAATTCAAGGACGTACAAATTAAGTTGTTTTAGAGACAAAGCACCTTGAAACGTTCCTCCAGCTGAACAGTTAATAACATCTAATCTAAGTCTAGAGCAAGTGGACCACTTCACAGCTAAACATATCCTGTGATTATTTGCAATTGTTGGTTTTCATAAGTGGGAGAGTCACGCTTCATACGTGGTAGAGCCACGCTGCTATGTATCATGAATGGTTCGGCTCGAACCATTCATGAAACACGACTCTCGAACGATGTGGCCATCCGCATGACAGTAAGTGGATGATGTAGTCCATAGACATCTACATTTATCCTTAACTAAGAATTAAAAATGCAAAAATGCGTTGTTACCCCTGAGGACTAAGATGAATGCCTCACTTACAATAAACAGGATATCGAGTCCCCTATACCACCATACGAAACACAGCAGCATTTAGCTGCTTTTGCATCCTTTATTCTGTAAGATCGTGATCCTACCCCGTGGACACCATTGTCCTCGTTTGTCACCCTTATTATATACGAAAAATATCTTACAGGATGCAATTGGCTCAGAACCGTGTTTAAACATTTCTTGGAGCCATTCTGTGTTCAGTAGTGTATTGCTGTAATCGATGAACTAATGAATGAATGAATGAGTATTGTCATCTCAATTTGTTGATTATATTTTAGGGTTCCAGACTGATCATACCTAATGGTCTGTTGGGTTCATCATGTCTAATGGATGAAGAAGACTTTCGATGGAGGGTAAGTTGTATTTTATTACCAAAGTTCAAAGTTAAGTCATGGTATATTTCATTTTCAAGCACAAGCTTCGTCTGATTAATGTTAGAGCAACGCTACGTTTTCAGCCCGTATTCATTCTATTTCACACACTATAATAAACATGAGCTGGTCAATTCGGTGCTACTCCGGTGGCGTGGAGCAGAAGAATTATATTTTTATACTTATTCTTAAAGAAAGCCTGCAGCACTTATTTGAAGAAGAAGAAGATTTCTCTCCTGAGCAGCGCTCCCGTACCACGTTTTCAAGAAATATTAAAAATAAACTAACATGCAGACTTGACGACTTGGAACTTAATGAAAGAGCAGTTTTCCTTGCATATGTGACAAAAGCCTATGTCTTTTCTGCAGTGCTCGCTGGAGGACTTTAGCCCCCTGCTATTGGTAGGTGATAGGACTTCTTTTCTGTGTCTGTTTGAGTATGCACTATCTTCCTTTCTATTTCTGACGTCAAATGGCACTTTTCGCACTGCTGTATTCTAGTCGGAGAGACATAGAGAGCCAGTGCTATTACAAGATGTCAGGAATTCCATTTCAGTCCCTATAGGTAACAACCCATATGTAGCCTTCTTCGTCTGAAGTTGGTAAGCTGAAAGTTAATGGACTGCAGGAGGTGCTTTTATAAAAATAAAGCTCAATGACCTCAATAGTGTTCCCTAGGGGAAAAGTCTTAAGATAAACATGGACAAATAACAAGACCTTGTGCAACATCTATGGTGAAAACTAATGCCGTTAATTGTAAGGAACACTACAGTATATTTACCTAGAACAAATTGTCCGATTAGAAAAATTCAATTTCCAGCAAGTGGTCATTTGATGAATCATACTTAGCTGGTTAGTTTGAGAGATTACCACTCATCTCGTCACTTACTCCTCAAAATCTTAAAACAAAAGTGCACAAACCATGCTTGTTGCCAATGATGACATATAAGAATGAGACATAAGAATGTTCACAGTAGTACCAGAGTACCCGACATAGCCCAATGGGTTAGTAAATTGAAATATTCAGCTACCAGTTTTCAAACGATAGGAATGAAAGGTTCTATAATATAGTCCTTGGAAAATTCTCAAATATACATTTGTGTTATTGCATTTTACCCCATGACTCAATCCTCTGATATTAAAACAACATACATATTAAGTCAATTATTTCTTTTCAGGTATCAACTGGTATCTACTATTACTTTTTTGCCAAAGTAACGGAGTTGATGGACACGATATTCTTCGTATTGCGTAAAAACTTTCGTCAGGTCACATTCTTGCATGTATATCACCATTCTTTGATGATGTGGAGCACTTGGATTGCTTTGAAATATGAACCTTCCTACAATGTAATATTCCTTGGAACGATTAACTCTTCCATTCATATAATCATGTATGGCTATTATGCGTTATCGGCATTCCCCGATCTCAATAAATATTTGTGGTGGAAAAAGTATATTACTTTGATGCAAATAGTAAGTAGTCATCAAATAGTATCTTTTATTATCATAATAATAGAATTGACGAATCCTATCATAAGTCTGCTGCTAAACATAGACGTGCCTCGTAGATTGTCACATAGGTGGATATTTACCATATTAGTCACGCTTGGCAATCGGGTTTTTAATCAAGAAGATGCTGCGGTCCATCTCCAATTTCAGTTTCCCCATGTCGCCTCTAACGACATCAATGAAATTATATGAGTTTATGTTGCTCTGCCACAAGCTGTAGATAATGTGCGTCTGTATTTTTTCGTAAAAAAGAAGGCGGTTACAAACGAGCATACAGTCTACCTGATGGCAAGTGGATATTCTGGCCCATAGATACCTACATCTTTCCTCTATTAAGAATAAAAATTGTCGTAGCGCGTAGATACGTTGATAACCCTAAGAACTATCATAGAATGCCTCATTACCAGTAAAATGGTTCTCCGGTTCTAGAGAACCGAGAAATTTAGAAATTCACCATAAGACACACAGCATTATTGTGCTAGTATTGTGCGCTTCCACGGTCGAGCCGACCATTCACAACCATAATATATACTGATATCCTAATATTTGCTGAAAAGAATCAAGTGCAGCACAATAATATAACGAATACTAAAGCCTAATTATTAAATTTTCTAAATCTTTTCTGTTTTTTTTTGTATATTATAATTAAAATAATTAGGCGTTACTTTGTAGAAATCCATTATATTGAAGTTATTAGAAGTTAATGTGCTCATTTCCACACAAGGAAAAAAAGTGTCCAGCCCAGACTGAAGAACACCTCTAACACTCCCGTAATTGCGTGTGTTAGATTATTAGGTAGGTAGGTAATTTAATAACTAGTTTTTAATGTAGTTGACGATTTTATTTTGTTTTATTATTCATAATTTCAATTCACGTGTCTCATGTTAGCAATAATAGAGAATGTTTTACGTTGTAGAGCCATGTTGCAGCTATATTAATTGTATAGTTGTAGCACGAATGGGTCGGCTCAACCAGGGAAGGACCACGCTCTCACAGAATACCAGCGTCAAATAGCAGCTTAATGCTGTTGTGTTTCGTATGGTGAATGTAGAGAACCGGAGACCCTTTTTACTGGAAAAGAGGCATTCCATCTTAGTCCTCAAGGCTGACAACGCATCTGCATTTTGATTCGCAAACGAGGATAGATGTAGATGTCTATGGGCCATATCAACCACTTACCATCAGGTGGACTGTGTGCTCGCTTGTCACCCTTTTCCTGTAAAAAAAATTGTAAAATGTTTTTTTTTTCTTTTTTAGTAGAGGGGCAAACGAGCATGCGGCTCACCTGATGTTAAGTGGCTACCGCCGCCCATGATCAACTGCAACACCAGAGAAATTGCAGGTGCGTTGCCGACAATTTGCAAAGGTGTAAGCTCTTTTCTTGAAGGTCCCCAGGTCGTATCGGTTGGGAAAAATCTCCGGTGGTAAACTATTCCACAGAGAGGTCGTACGTGGAAGAAAACGTACAGTGGTGGACTGTCAAGCATCCAGATGGTGTGGATGAAATCGGGACGTTTGCAGCGTAATTTGTTCACGAAATTTGGCGGCTGGGATTAATCCGAACAATTCCTAAGAGGAATGCTCTTAGGAATGGAATGGTATATGCGAAAGAAAATGCAAAGAGATGCAACATCTCTTCGTAGCGCCAGTGAATCGAGCCGATCGGAAAGCACTCGGTCGTCGACGATTCGAGCCGCTCTGCGCTGGATGCGGTCAAGTGGAAGGAGCTGGCACTGGGGAGCCTCAGCCCAGAGATGAGAACAGTATTCCATTTGCGGCCGAACCTGCGCCTTATAAAGTTGCAGGCGGTGTGCCGGCATGAAATACTGTCCCGCTCTGCTGAGCACAATCAACAAGGGAAATGCCTTGAAACTGAGGACATACGACAAAGGGGTCCTTTTTAGCGGTTAACTTGTGTCTTCTGAGGACTAAACTGAACTAGATTTAGTCGCCCCCAATCCGAGACTTTGTTCACCAAAGACGCGACTTCAGACACAAGTTTGTCCCGGTACTCTGAGACGTTTTTCCGAAAAATATTGGCACGTCCGGTGTACAGAGCATCACCAGTGGTGTCATCTGCATAGTCATTGATATGCAGAAGAAACTTCGTTGGCGATAGCACGCAGCCTTGTAGAACACCAGCATTAATAGGCTTGTAATCGGAGCTTGCACCGTCAACTACGACCTTGATGCTCCGATCTGCAAGAAAGCTGGTGATCCAAATGCACAATTTCTCGGGAAGCCCATAGGAAGGGAGCTTCGAGAGAAGCGCTTTGTGCCAAACCGGATCGTAGGCCTTCGCAATGTCCAAACTAACGGCCAGTCCCACTTCTGACCTTAGATTTATTTCAATGTAGAGTCACATAAAAAGCTTTAAAATAATTTATATTAAATAAATGTAGGGTTACAGGAAAAGGCTCCAGAATAGAATAGAATCATTTTTATTCAATATAAAATTTCTACCACTGGTTCGGAGAAAACATCTATCCTGGGAAGTACCGGCAAAAAACCCAGCGGGATATTATTTTAAATAAAGTTATTTTACAATATATTGTTTTATACAATTATTAAATACACAGAGAATAACATGGCATTAACATTTAAAAGATATAATACGAGGGCAAAGTTTGAACGGTGAATATAAAAAAATAATTCCAAATTTTGAAAATGAAACTCATTGCCAATATTATTGTATATGTATTTTAACAATTTGTCATTTGTTTACGATTTGGCGGCAAATTGAAAATTGTCTGTGTCGCGTGAGCGTGAACTTAATTGAAATTAATGAATGAATTGAATTTAATTGAATGAAATTTCATTTCATTTTTTCATTTTTTTTACTTTCAATGTCATTAAGTCAACAAAAAAGTTGGGATAGAATTCGATTGTCCTTTTGCGATAAAGCCTATCTCTTGCCACTATTTACAACTGGTTCAATGAGTTTAAACGTGGTCGCACTAATCTGACCGATGATCTGCGTGAGGAACGGCTTTATACGGCAACGACTGAAGAAATAATCAGTGTTGTGCGGCGTATGATAGAGACTAACAAAAGAGTGACTTATCAGCAGATTTGGATAAGCTTAGGCATCGGTATGAGTTAAGTGTGTGGCGGCACTGTCGTCACGCCGCAAGCGAAACACACCGAAGCCTAAATCACGCTATCAAAATTCCGACGCATAAACAGTATATATAGAACATCTCCTAGACCATAAACAATGATTAAAAAAGCTGAAGGTACTCCGGGTTTAACAATGACATCGGGACGTCAGTCACCTCTGTCCCCCGTGACCATGGGAGCTGGAAAGCACCCGAAACGTCGGGAATTAAAAATAATTAAAAGTAAAATTAAACACGATAAAATCCGTAAAAGTAGTTTTAATCAATTTGTAGTGTTCGCGTAAATATTAACTAGTTATTAAATCACCTATCCACCTTATTGTCTATAATAATCTAATACGTGCACTATCCCCGTCACCACCAATCACAGCACCTCCACTCACAACACCACAAATATCAGCACCACCACTCTCAGCACCACCACTCCCAATACCACCACCATACTAGGAACGACACGTGCTCCACCTATACACGAGGCATCCTCCAGATTCTGCGGAGGCTGTTCGCTAAGTTTTAGCTAGTTACACATCTTAGTATTACCTTACGCGGAAATGAGCAAATTAAATTAAATTAAGTTCTAACAACTTCGATGTCTGTATATTCAGGATTCACGCCAAAACTGCTTAAAATACTTTAAAAATACTTCTCTTCGATAATACACCTAACAAACGATATACAGAAATCTATAATATATCGTTTGTAAGGTGTCATGCCTAATAATAACGCTTATAAATCATATTTTTATTTTTGTTGTTCGCGCGCCGATCTGAGTGTTAAATTATTAAACTTTTTCATTATCTCTTAAACTATGCGTCCAAATAACATGAAGATGTAAAGTCTATCTTCATAAAATTATCTTGATGATAATTGAAAGAACGTGAAGCACCGACGCTCCGGCAAGTGCATTCTGTGAACATGTTCAAAATCTTCTCCACCATTACATCAGATTTGATAAAGCACAAATCCTCGCAAAAGAACACCGATTTCTACCAAGGGTGATACGCGAGGCTATTGAAATTAAAAAACATCCTAATTTCAATAGAGAAAATGGACGGGTGCTAACATCTGCAAGGTAGCCAGGCTAACTATGACATTGAGATGCCAAACATCTCAGTCCCCCCCCCCTCATGACCATGGGTGCTGTAAAGCACCCGAAACGTCGGGAATTTAAAAATAAGTTAAAGTAGTAATTAAACGCGATAAAATCCGTAAAAATAGTTTTTTATTCAATACCTCATTTTGCTAAAATATAAGAAATAGGCATACGGTGTCACGGACTTTTTTTTGGATGATCTAAGTAAAGATCACGCCAGATCAAGAGATCAAGCCAGCGCTGCGAATTTTTTTCTGACTTGCTCTACAAATATCAATATTTAGGCTAGCTGAGATGTGTATTTTAATGCTAATTGAGCTATAATACTATTTCACATGAATCTTTCTATCATACACAAATAAATTTTTTAAATCAAGATTAATGTGTTGCAAAAAACAAAAAAATTTTTCCGCTGTATTATATTATTATTTATTATTTAGATTAGCATAGATTATTTTCGGTGCAACCCGAATACCATCTTAATATACCGACAGACACCTTAAAAGGATTCTCTTTTTTTCAGTTGCAGTTTATGTGCATAATATTACACGCGGCAGCGAACTACGCTTATTCAGCGTGCCCACCTTCGTATACTTTATTAGCATCAATCCTGTTGAATGCTTTACTATTTGTTTATCTTTTTGCAGAATTCTATGTCAACTCTTATGTTAATAAAAATAAAATTAATACGCGTAGTAAAAGTATCAACTCTTTGGCAAACGGATCAGTCAATGAAAAATCAAACTAGGTATGTCATATTGCACAAATATTTAATTTAGTTAAGTTTATGTATTAAGAATATTAATGATAAATATATTTTAATTATATCCACTCATTCCTATTTAATTTGTATAAATCTCATCATTTCATTCATTTTATACCCAGTATGTAATTTATATTCACTGTTTTTGATATATTCAATTTAGAAGGAGACATTTTTTTTTGTTCGGAGAATGGGCCTGCCACAAATTGTGACGATACTTAGTAAATGCGCGTAGATTTTTTGCTTGTAATATCTATATTACAATATTAATGTTAATTTTACCATATTTATAGGGATACTAAGAATAATAAATCAAACGGCAATCTCGTGCACTATTATAGTATAGAATAGATTTGATCAGTATTCTATATTATAATAGTGAAATGTTAATGATAAAAATTATAAAAAATTGTTAGTCAAAAGTCAAAATCTTAAATATTACTTGGTAGATGGAAAATTCTTTTAGTAGCTCCAGAAATATAGTTCTCGAATAAACGGACGGCGGTGATTTATAATTTTCTTAATTAAAACACAGATCAAGATTTAGTGCTGCGTAAGACTTATGCTGCCTTACATGATCTTGTTTACAACTTTAATAAAAGTGAATACTTGGTCTTTGGGGTTTCCGGCAAGTGCCTCTAATCTATCCCTGCATTAACCTTAAGTAAATCGCAGCTAAAGCAGGTTTATCAATTTAAATACCTAGGGCATATTCTTGACGACGACCTTAAAGATGATCTAGATATATATATAGATGGAGCGTAGGGCTTTGGCGAAACGTAGCAATATGCTGGTCCTTAGATTTGACTGCTGTTCGGATCAGGTTAAAATAACGTTATTCAAAGTGTATTATCAGGGTCTGTAAAAGGGCGGTCTGTGGATTGGATATACCAAAAAATTGCTAAACACTGATCACGCACGTTGGCACTTCCCCGCTTCTGTAGTGCATCTGGCATGTTTGTACAGACCCGAACTGATGGTGTTCATGCCGTAGTTCGGAAAAAGTAGCGTCGCTGACGGGAAGGTTACGGAGAAGTGACAACAGCATCCTGAGAACGGTGGCAGATGCTCCGCATGCGCCTATTGTAAGGCACTTCGTGCGAGCGATAGCTCGTAAAGTGGATGATAATTCTTCTTGGTATCGACTACACGGAGTGTTTCTTAGGTACATGACAAACTAGAATTTATTTTAGTCTAATTTTATCTGATTTAATTTAATTAAGTTGGATTTAATTTGATTCTAAATATACTAATGTAGTTTAACTTAATTGTTTTCAAAATACTAACACTTAATTTTTAAGCATTAATGTAATACTGTATGTATGTATAAAAATGTAACCCATGGACCTTTGTTGACTGAAATAAATTAATTTGTATTTGAATTTGTAAGTTTAAAGTGAAGCAAAAAATAAGCCAAAACTATGCTCAAGTAATTGTAACTGATGAGTCTAATATAATTTGCAACCAGTAACATGATTTTAGGTTCTTATGTGTGCGTTTACCATTGAACTTTTAAGGGATGTTAAAGAAAAAAAGAAGAAAGTGTGTGCATGAGTGCTGTCGAGAATAAAAGCAACCGTTTGCGATATTAAACACGAAAAATATAAATAACATGCATTTATTAAAGTACAATCATCACATTTTAAAGCAGTCTATTAAAACTAACATAGGCCTTCCACATGACAAGTATGTTTACATTCAAACACAGATAACAGCATCATTGAAGCTAAAGGGTAAGGGATCAAATTTTTCGCATACTATCTAAAAGTGCGCTTCCAAGAAATTAAAGAATAGAAAAAAAATCAAAAATAAAAAACACTTATTTTTATTCACAACGCAAGGAAGTTCGCTATTTTTTCATTGTGTTTATTTTTATTTAAACATCGTTCCGATATCGATATTGTTGGTGTCTGTATGCGTACACTTTTCAAACACCATTCGAAATTTTCAAGAAAATGTTATTTTTTAGTATGCATATTTTATGGTCCACAGAATACGAAAGGTTTAATTTTAGTAAAATGAACTAGTATATATATATATATATATATATATATATATTTTTTTTTTTTTTTTTTAATAAATAAATATATTAATTTCAAACGCGATGTGTAACGCGATAATTTGGGAATTATTTACATTCTACTATAGAATAACAATAAATTTGAAGTGGCATCACAGGCCCATGAAATTCGACTAACATCTGGTATACTTCCGCTATTTTGTTTTTCGTCAGAGGGACGATCTTGTCTGAACTCGCTGCATGTTATATCTTCCAAATTTGAATGGTTTCCCTGAGTTACGATAGTAAATTATATTTAATTATATCACGTAATTAATTGCAAAATCAATGAGAATTAACTTTATAGTGAATTCCATAAATTATAATTTATGAGGCTAAGTGGTTTAGAATTTTTGATCCGCTGTGCGACGAATGACTACACTACAAATTTTAAAGATTTTCAATGAAATGCATGTCTATTTATTCCTTATAATCCATAGATTACAATAATATTATATTTACTGCATCTAAACGGAGTTCTGAGAAATTAACAAATAAAATGTGAATCTAACAATAACCTAAAAACAAACTGAAAGCGATTTTCTAGTAGTATTCATCTGTATTATAAGTTAAAATAGTGCACACTTGAATAATACTACATATAAAACTAAGCTGTAGGGTATTCAGCATTTTTAAATATTTTTAAATCGATGAAAAACATTTTACTAGTTCCGGCAAAACATAGTGCCTGTCTGTGTACAAATGTCGTATGGATTCTAGTTTAGACATGTATTGATTGATTGGGAGTGCAAATTCTAAATACTAAGATGGCTAAGGGATAATGTCTATTTATATTTATGATATTACCAACACACAGTAAGAAATACGTTTTAAACTTGTTGTATTACAAAAAACAAAATATAATGTCGGTAACAATATTTATTATTGTAAATCATAATTTGTTTAAGTATTCTATTAACAGTGGTAGGTACAGAAACAGAAACCTTTTATTCAATTTAGATTATAAATAATACTTATTCAATGTCACATTTTTAATTTACCACCGGTTCGGAAAAAACCTCTGACTTGAAGAGAACCAGCAAAATACCCAATGGGTTTAAAAAAAAAGCCAGCTTACAATCATGTATGTCATAAATAACAACACAGAACAAATTAGAAATAGATTAGTAACGATCACTTTACCCACGGGTTATTGTCATCCATAAATTATTTTATACTATGATAACCCCTTTTATACAAACTTAGTTTAATAAATTTTTTGAACTTTGATGATATAGACAGGAGCGGTATCAAGACTTGTTTTAATATGTTTTGCTTATCTATGTTACTACACAATGATAAATGGTGAGGAAGTAAGATGTTTCAAACTGTTTGTGTAAGGATTACAAAAACACAGACTTAATTTAAATGTATTTATTACTAGCGATGCGGCTCAGCTGCAGCACTGGTCATTTATGGGTCTCGACAACAGTGTCATCTACCGGGTCCAAATATAAATATAAACCATCTAGGGATCCCTCCAAACACACAAACATTTTCATTGACATTGGTTGGATGGTTTCTTATGTTTTGTCTATAACGGACATAGGTAGAAACATTTTAGTGTTAAATATATATGAAGGTTTTTTGAAAATAACTTGATGGTAACGTGTACATTTATGATAGTGTAAGCAATCAGAAGGGCATTTCCAATCATAAGAGATATGATATAAGACTGTTATCTTCAATATCCATACACTTTTTGTCTCTGCAAGCATTCAGCTTGCAAGGCATACAGATTTGTTCTAAGCGATCCACCTGAAAAGAAGTTAATGAAAATTGTAAAGGTGTCTTAACTAAATAATAATTCTTATCAATATATTATTTTTTCTATATTATATAGGAATTAAAAAGACATTTTTAATAATAAGAGATATGACATTAGACTATGACTTCAATGTCAATAAACTGTATTTACATATTTCTGTGAGCATTTTCTTATATCTGTCTGTTCATATATTAAATAATAAAGAAATTATTATAAATTATACAGAATTAATCAGCTCCAGCTGATCAAATACAGAAGCAGTATTTATTGATTAACATCAATGATATTCAACTATGTAAAAGTTGTCTCACATTTTATTTTCACTGGTTTCATGTACATAGTAGCGAGTTACCGAGTTAACTCGGCGCATCGTATAGATTCAGAGGGTGCTATATAAATATTACATCACTAATTTACTTGTATATGTAATAAGTCGCTGCGGGTGACATCACAAGTTGCATCCAAATTCCAACTTGCATCTGGTATGTTGTAAACAAACCTGAACTTAGTTTGATTTATGATATTGTGACATAATTTTAATTTCATGTTGCCACGTATTACTTATTTATAAAGGTACATATTTAAAAATGGTTTACTAAAGTAATCGCTACTCTCAACTCTCGTGATAAACTTTTCTATAAATAGTCGATTTAGCCAAAAACTAGTATACAACTAGAAAGACATACATACATAAATTAACCCGAGTGACTCGAGTCACAAAATTCTACTCGAATCACATCTTTATCTTACGGCCAACGCAGTGTTTGTCTGCAATTTAGTGATGAAATCGACGTACTAATTCGAGCAATTTATTGATATATTATGTAATAAATAAATTGATATTAGGTAATAGTAGGTTTATAATGTTGTATCAATTTATGTTATATATAATTAAATGGTTAAACGAACTTACCTTAAGTGAAGTTCAACCATATTTATACGAAGCTCCTTGTCCTAGACATTCTTAACAATTGTAGTACGCCGTATTTCTTGCCAGCGTCACAATTTATCCAAGCTCGCTAAAAAAAAATTAAGGAGCAGTATATATGGCAACACTGTATCAACCCGTCCGTCAATGCAATTTCATTATGTTTAAAGAAAGGAATTAGATGAGAAACCCTAAACCAGGGAGGGTTGGACCGGGAGTACCGTCTAGGA